ACTTACCTCAAGTTGAACTTTATATTAAAAAATTTATAATTATAATTATAAATAAAATACATTATATAATAGTCATCTTCCAGTGTCAAAATATATATTGCTGAAAAGTCACTATCTCATAATAAATTTGATAATTATAAATAATTTAATGTTTAATTTAGAAAGTTCTGGAAGAAACTAATTGTCTTGGCGTGGTTTCAAACCCACAACTCCAGTGTACCATGTGGATGCATTGCCAGTTATGTTACCCAGACATCAATCCAATCTCCATCTCAGAACTATTAATAATTTAGATAAAACCATACTGGTTGCTTATGTTTTTGACTGGGAATTCATTTAGCATCTATTTAATAAGCCCTCTATGTCAAACAGTTGGCTATTGCTTTACCCCTGCAAAGTATATATATAACTGTTGATGATCTGCTGGATTGTATGGTATTATGACTAGCCACAATATAGCTCAATACAATCCGGAAATATTATATTATGGCTGTAGCCATAACATAGCCCAATGCAGTCCAGTAAATCAAAAATGTTTTTATGATTACCAGTAAATCATTTGGTATTAATCAAGAATTGGGTTATTTGATATTTATATTTGTATTCATATGTATGTATATAAAGTGGAAGGTGCAATAGTTATTGCTTTACCCCAGCATGGGGTAAAGCAATAACTGACTGTTTTCCATAGAGGTCTTATTAAGTGAATGCTGAAGGCATCCCCAGTCAGCAACAATGAGAACCAGAGCACAATCAACAAACCCTTCATTTAATGAAAAATTGATGAATATTGTCAATCTTAAACAAGGTCTGCATCAGGTCAACATTATATTCCAAATTGGAATGCTCAGAACACAAATTTTCAAAAATTTTTAAACATGTTTTTAATAATTAGAACATAAAATATAATGATGTAAATCAAACATATAAATATACAAAATTGGTGGTATTTTTAAGAATTATAAAATTAAATCCAATATAAATATAATAGTATTTTTAAGAATTATAAAATTAAATCCAATATAAATATAATACATAACATATTACAAAATAATAATTAATTTATGTTGGGTTTTTCCAGTTTTTCATAAAGGCATTGCCATAGTTGTAGCTGTACTGTAGTAGTTGTGCTTTTTCCATCTTTAAAATTAATACATTTGTAATTCAGGCTGGCCTTGTATATTTCTAATGCTTCTAGAGCCCTGATGTGGTCGGTTTGAAAGAATTTTTGATTAATCTGGCATTCTGGAGGTTGACTTGTATGCCATTCTCAGTGGTTTAAATTGGCAGGGTGGTGGTATATGTTTTCCATTTAAAATATTGTAACGATGTTCTTATATCCGTTTGTGTATGGAATGTTTAGCAAATTCAATGCCATATTGCTTTTGAACCCTTAATTTTATAATTCTTAAAAATACCACCAATTTTGTATAAATATACATTACATTTATGTATAATTACATGTTTAATTTACATTGTTATATTTTACATTCTAATTGTTTAAAAACATGTTTAAAAATTTATGAAAACTTGTGTTCTAAACATTCCAATATGGAATATAATGTTGACCTGATGCAGATCTTGTTTAAGATCAAAAATGTTAAGTCAATTTTTATGTTAAATTTCATTATTGGATGTTAAAGGTTTTGTTGATTGTGCTTTGTAATTCATTCCAGTTATTGAGAAAAAGGTCATTTGTTAATGAGAACCAGTATGATTATATCCAGTGGTGATATTCGAAACATTTAACAAAGGGTTCGCTAACAGAAAATTTTTCCTTAACAATTTTTTTTTTCGTTCAAATGGTGCATTAGCAACATTAGCGCAAAAGCTGACCTTAACATNTACTAATGATAGACTAAGGAATTAAATTATTCAAGTTTGTAAAACAAAAAGAATTATCATTGTTTTGAAATTACATTTTGAACTTCAGTAAAAACTAATAAAACAAATTAGGATGCATATAAAATTTTCAGACATTCTTTAAATAAACACATTTAGTATTTATTTGAAAGCACATAACATTAGCATTTATCTATAATCTAGAATTCTTCAAATAAATGCTAGATTAAAATAATGCTAGATAAATGCTTCAAATAAATAAGTTACCAGTTGTATTTATAATTTTTATAGCATCCACATTACTTTCATTATTATATGATTACAAGAATTGTAATAAGGAAATAAAATATCTCAGGAGTTTAATAAATCTCCAAAATCAAATCTGATTGTCAGTAATAATCAATGTTTTTTTTTCCTTGAAATGTTACATTGAAATATATCATTCTGCATTGATAAATAACTATCATACTATCATTTGATACAGTAGAGCATTGATTATCTGAATGTCAATCAGCTGAAATGTCGATTAACTGAAATCTTTCCAGTCGGCAAATTTAAATTTCTGCTAGTGCTGTGGCGCTGCAATCTTTGGCTATGTCTTGGCTACTCCAATATTATTTTTGTTGGTGTACATATTTTAGCTGGCAGTACTGGCACGACCATGAGAGGGTACTTAAGAATGTGCCAGGATTTGAACAAATTTCAACATGGGATAGGTTAATATATTTTTTCGTACATAATTGGTTATCCAAAAAATCAATTTTCCAAACAACCCCAGTCCCCAATTGATTCAGATAATCGATGCTCTACTGCAGTGTTCCACAACCAGTGTGCTGTCACAAGGTGTAAGGTGTGACGTAAACTTTTACATATTCTATTAATTTCAACCTTTATTTATATATTTTTATCACAGCTGCTGTGCTTCTTATGCTTGTATTTCAAGTGTTATCTCATAAGTGCTGCAGCACTTATGAAATAAGATGATGTTCATTTATTCTTTATTACAAACCATGCATTTTTATGTATTTTAAGAAATTAAATGTNTATATTCCTGAAATTTGAGTAAATTATAAAGCTTTAAATATATAGAATGTAAATAATAATACTTGTATTTGCTATATATATTTTGAATAAAGTTAAAACTGATGTATTTGAAGTGAATATATCAAATACAAATTTAATTTTTTTACATTTTGCTAAAATAAAATATTCAATGAACGAAATTTATGCATAAAAAATGTAGAAAGTAAAAATTAAAGATTCAATTAAGTTATACCTACTGAAGCTAAATATTGCTTGTATTTTCATTTGCTAAATATAAAATCATTTCATGACAGTGTATAATTTCTAAAAAAAATTTTTTGTTTTTAGGAAACTGGTATTGGTAAAACTGTTCGTGGATTGAAAAGTCGACAAGGAGAAGTTGGAGAACTAGCACAACATATATATGAAAACTGGAGGAAAGCTGTTATAGACACATCTCAACATAAAGGAAAAGAAGAATCAAAACACAAAAAGACTACAAATGATGTTCATAAAGAAAGCAGTAAACAGTTATTAGTTGAAAATCATAAAATTTCATATGCAAAACAATCTGCTGTTAGTAACAATGCTAAACTTGCTCAAAATCACTACAGTTCAAACAAAAATGATTCTCAGAATCAGAAAAAGTATAAAAGTTTAGGACATGATACACATATGAAAGATAGATCATCATTATCAAGTAACTTTTGTAATTATTCAACTTCCAACGACAACAACAACAATTATTATACAGAAGAAATGGAAGATGATGATGAAATAAATATATCAAATACTCATTTTCATAAAAAGTCAGAAAAAGTAAATAAAAATAATTATGATGATAAAAAAACAGTTTACAAACAGAAATCTTCAAAAAATGATATGTCTATGAAAAAAGAAGAGAATTCACATTCTCAGAAAAAAAACAAGAAATTAAAAAGACAGTTATTAGAATCTAAAGAAGAAAGTTTTAATAGTTCTGTTGCTAGTTTTGAGGATATATTAGGACTTAATGATTCATTGAAAGTCAAAAGAAAAAAGCCTATGCCAAGTACTCAAACAACTAAAAAGTTTCAAGAACCTCAATTTTCAACTGAAAATGAAGTAAAGAAATCAACTACAACTTCCAAAAATGATAAAACCAATAAAGTAACCATAAATAAAACAGTAAAAAAATCTGTAAATAAATGTTTATCATCCGGTCTGCCTGATGTTCCTGAGGCATTGAAAAAGGTAATAATAATCAAATTCTTTCATTTTTATTACAATATAAAGCTAATGATATGTAAAGCTAATGATATATAAAGCTAAAGATGTTTATCATCCGGTCTGCCTGATGTTCCTGAGGCATTGAAAAAGGTAATAATAATCAAATTCTTTCATTTTTATTACAATATAAAGCTAATGATATGTAAAGCTAATGATATATAAAGCTAAAGATGTTTATCATCCGGTCTGCCTGATGTTCCTGAGGCATTGAAAAAGGTAATAATAATCAAATTCTTTCATTTTTATTACAATATAAAGCTAATGATATGTAAAGCTAATGATATATAAAGCTAAAGATGTTTATCATCCGGTCTGCCTGATGTTCCTGAGGCATTGAAAAAGGTAATAATAATCAAATTCTTTCATTTTTATTACAATATTTTTCTATATAAAGCTAATGATATGTAATCCTTTGAAAGAAGAGACTAAAAGCATTTATTTATTACAAATAAACACAATGGTACCTTGGTAGAAAAACAACAATAATCAATAGCAAATTTGAAAAACTTTTGCTATGGTTTTATTGGGTTGAGTCATAAATAAGTTCCGTTTTCTAAACTGAAATTTATTTGCCAATAAAATGTACAGCAATAGACTTTAATCTATCACATATTCACCATCATTATTAATGACTTCTTGCCATTTTTCGGGCAACTTGTCAATTCCTCTTGCATAAAATTCTGGTGGTTTCGAATCAAAAAACTCCTGGACGAACTCCTGAACTTGGTCATCATTTTGGAAGCATTGCCTTTGTAAAGCATTCTGCAGTGCCCGGAAAAGATGGAAATCTGTTGGTGCCAGGTCCGGTGAATAAGGTGGATGAGGCAAAACAGACCAGCCAAACTCCAAAATTTTTTCTTGTGTAATCTTC